TTAAGTCCAAAGATGCTATGACGGTTTATCCTTTACTCGTAGGAAAATATTAATGTCAAGATTCTAAGATAAATGTAAAGTTTCAAGGTATAAACATGAAAGATCAAAGAAAATGGAATATTTCTGCCAAGCAATAAACTCGACCCAAAGATGAAAAGGGAAAGGGAAAACCGACCTAGTATGAGTATATAAGAGAAGCCAAGGTGCAAGAGAGAACTTTTTAACCAGAAAACTTAGCAAATAGAGCAATAGACAACTTTTCATTTTTGTTATCGAACTGCATCTCAATCAGGTTTTCACAGTCTTACGTCATGAAAATTAGGGAACTCGCCTACAGTGCCAAGGCTCTTACCTTTTGTACACGCTCTTACGCAAATTTGGAATAAGACATCTTTTGCTCTCTTTATGATTCATATTTTTCATCTGTTTTATGATGTGTTTAGTTTTCTTTATTTAACGAAAATCAACGGTGTGAATTTCGATTCCCACTATTGTTTCAATGTTTATTGGTCTTTTCTCTTATGTTGTAAATTTTCTGGTATCAAATGTAATTGTCAAATGGCTTAACTAATGAAAGTCAGTCTAAACAGATTACGTAGAAAACTTATGTTGTTAGTATTTCCAAGAACCATAGAAATATCAGAAAAACACAACAAGATAGTACATGTTTTAATTATATCTATCGATATATATGATAACTTTATAATATTTAGGAATACCGATTCGATTTTCACTTTATAATAAAAAGATAGTTCTGTCTAAAATTAAAAATGTCTTCGATACCTAATTTAATTAATAATTTACCATAATGATCCAACATCTCATTAATCATTGCTAATGGATTTTAAAACAAGTGTATGAACGGAGAACGCGGAGCGGGACATTTTTGACTGTTTTGTGGTGGACCCTACATAATTTCACCAATCACCAATATTTAACATTTGCGGTGCATTTTCTTTGTGTTATTTGTGGTATGTTTTTGCTTTATTAATGGTGGAAGTTACAAGAGAAAGTGAATTACGCACCAAACAGTATATACGTATGTATTTGATGTGCTTTTACCCTTTATGTGCGGTTTTCTAAACTTTTTGAATATATACACATTTCATAATGTTACATACTTTATTATATAAGTATTTTATTGCTGACATTTTATTTAAATTTATTTCAAATAACGTTTCAGTTTTAACATAATTTTATCATAAACATTTTTATTAAGAACTGTTAATCATTAATTTACTTTTAAAATATGTTTCTTTAAAAACATATTCCTTCTGACTAATGTAGTATATTTTATTTATTTAAGTTTATACTGTACTTTTTTATATATATATAAATGAAACGTTACGTCTGCATTTAATAAATCTAATAATTAAAATAAAAATAATAATTTGACGTATATTCATTTTCAATATATATATATATATATATTTAAGACATTTTAATTGCAATTATTTTTATAATATTAATATCTTATTTATATAATTTATTTATACAATACATTTAATATCCACTATTACTTTATTAATTAAATATTTATTCCACAACGCAAATACATATTGTCACCAATCAAACAATAGTTTTATAAAAACCCGTAGTTGTACCGTAACACACTTCAATTCTGCATGAACCGCAGTTGCACTGTCCAGCACTTTAATTCTGCACCGCTTTTAGGTAGTGATTGGTAACATATCATTTGCGGTTTTGATAAAACCGCAACTTGATCACCAATCATAACTTTTGCTTTTCATTTCGCGTTTTTATAAAAATTTACTACAATTCCGCGCACAGATTCCCATAACTAATAAAAGTTATTATAGACTTCAAATCCGCACAAGCATTCAAATACATGTGTTTTTTTTTAAAAAAAAACACACAATAGCTCTACTTTTCGATAATAAAAGAAAAGAATGATGGTAAAATAATCTACCACATAACTTTGACTTTCTAGACGAAAAGAAATATATCCTCAGATATGTCTATAAATGTATGTGCATATCATAATGTACATAATTATTTTCAACCAGACACATTCTCTTAATAATAAGTCAAAATATTATTATAATTAAATGTTGTTAATCTTTTATAAATCAGTGTATATCTGTATTGTACATTATATTGAACTTCATATCCAGTGTTTTTCATTAATGTACTCCAACATTTTAAAAGTACATTGCTAATAAAAAAGCTTTAATAAAAATATATTTATGTATAACTGTTTTGTTTTTGAAATACAAATATTTTTCTTATCTTGAAAAATGAAATGTATTAGTTGTATTTATGTTCTAGCTAAAGTTATACATTATATATATATATATATATATATATATATATATATATATATATATATATTTCCATTTATTATTTTACTGTTATATATATAAAATATTTTTCTTATTTAAATTACTATAATTAATAAAAAATTATGCTTTATAAAGTCAAAATATTAACTAGAATTCATTTTAAGTAAAATGTTAATATTAATTTATTTATACAGTAAAATATTTTTACCAGTCAAATATGTTTATTTAAAATATATTTATCATGTAAATATAATATTTATATTATTTAACTATATTCCATATTCTATATTATTAATTAATAAATTATTATTCAATACCACAAATATATATTGTTACCAATCAAACAATATTCCGTACCGCTTTTTAGTTAAAACCGCCGTTGTACCGTACCGCACTCTAATTCCGCACGAACCGCGGTTTCACCGTCCCGCACTTTAATTCTATACCGCTTTTAGTGCCAAATCTGCCGTCACCATTCGGAGTCTTAGAGTGTGAATGGAGACATTGATAAGGAGGAATTCAATGGAGTACTTAGAAAACCACTTTTAATTTACCAATCAACATATTTATTTGCAATATGCGTTTTCCACAAAAAAAAAAACAAAAAACCTGTTCGAGGTTTTCGAGCACTACAATTAACAAATAGACTGCTTTTTTAGTTTTTGCACCAATTACATAGCGGATTCATTGCAGTTCTGCACTGTAGGAAGTAAGTTTTTTTTTTCATGTATTTTTAATACTTTTACTGTTATTTTGTGAAATAAATGTACACAGACTTATCAAACATCACATGTTATAAGAAATATTAAAAACTAAAGTGCATTAAAAATTATCACGTAGTTCCTATGCATCGTATTTACGATTTTAATCTTAACTATAGTTGTCCAATTATTTATTTTTTCGTTAAAACTAGTTGAATTACTTGATATTGTTACCCTTGAAAGCTAAAAAAAACAATATACATATTTTATAATTAGACCACAGGAAAAAATAATTTTCAATTTTGATCTTTCTAATTTTTATATAATAAATGTATATATCACCACGTTATTTTAAAAAAAAATATTAATTTGACTCATCCAAAATAGCTTATAGAATTAACAACAAATGTAGGGAAAAAATCTATTATTAAATTAAAATACTTCAACTTTTGATAAAATAATACATGATAATATTTCATTTATATGGTTATTCAAAATACTTAATTAAAAAAAATCAAAATAATAATCAATCCAAATTTATTTAATATAGGAAAATAGATATATACGTGCGCATTTATTCAGAATCAGAAGATAAAACTGAAGCAAACCTCTTTCTCGGTTTGATTTAGGTTTAGAACGTACAAATTACCAAAACATATCTTATATCTTTAAAACCCTATTATCGGAACCAAATTTTATATTTCACAAATATTATAAATATTTATCTAGTAAAAACACTAAATATTTTTTTTCACAGTCAAAAACTGTTTTGTATCATTTATTTTAAAATATATATTATCTTAATTTATTATTTATATTTTTTTAATATATTTTATATTATTACTATTTTATATTAACTAATCATTCAATACCGAAAATATGTATTGTCACCAATCAAAGAATAATTTGCGCTTAAAACTGCATATTCCCGTACCGCACGAACCGCAGTTGAACCGTCACACCTTTTAATTCCGCACCACTTTTAGAACCAAATCCGCCGTCACCATTCAGAGCCTAATTATTAAATCCACTGTCACCATTTGGAGTCATGTAAAACTGATGTTATTTGGCTGTTGAATTATGTAGTGCGTTTTTAAGAAGAATTGCATGTATATAAAAAAGAGTGCGTTATTGCTCTTTGTTTTTGTTTTGTAAAGTGCGTTATTCGACTAATATATTGATTGGTGACACTTACTCAATTACGCATTTTCTATGGCAATTACGTCCCGCACCACGGTTACTAATCACTACCAAAGTAATTGAACGGGATTTGTAAAAAAATGAATATAAAAATTAGAAACACGCATTTTATAACTAGTTAAACTATTTCAATTTATATTTATTAATATTTTTTTTTTAAATTGTGGTTTTAGCTAATACATCTTATTTTGGAAATAGAAAGAGTTTCGTTTGTGTTTCAAAAAAAAAAGTTTCATTTGCATATTTTTTCCTTGACTTATGTAAATGCATATAAAACAGTTATATATGTATACATCCGAGCGATTTTTCATACATGTATAAGGAGAAATTTATAAACAAGAGACACAACACAACACAACACAACAGTTCTCATTCAATGCTCCTCCATACTTCTTCACATCTCCATAATACATAGAAATATAAGGAGAGAAAATAAGAAGATAAAAATAACGAAAAGTTTCAAATTAAAGATATCAAGAATCCTCTCCTTCAAATCTTGCGTTCAAAAGATCCTTCCGACCTCCCTTTCAGTCATGTCCGTTCATTTCCTTGTCCTCCTCCTCCCCCGCTTAACCCCACCACCGTCACCACCGTGCAACAGCGTCGCTGTTCTTCTTTAAGTCAACATGTGTATACCAATTTTGGCTGCGGCTCAAGTGGGCGACGCTCTTCTACAAAGTTGGATGCTTCCCGGAGGAACTCACTGTCGTTTTCCTTGCCGCAGATGCCAAAATTTCAGTGAGAGAGCGAGGGGAAATGGCACTTGATTTCTCAATTTGATGCTGGAGAATACGAAATGCCTCGTCGAAAAATATACGATGGAGATGATCACCGATGTTCAGAGAAGAAAGAGAGATACACACGGCAGAGAAGGAGTACTTCCTCCGCTGAAGACTACGAAGAGGAGACGGAGAGAGGGAGTCTCTTACCATCTTCCACAAACCTCTCGTCAGAAATTTCCTCTTCAGGTTTGCCACGTGTCACCAGACGAAGGAAAAATCATCCGAGGAAGAAAAACACGTCGGTTGTTGTTGAGGAAAAAAGTGAGTTGTCTTCTCCTCCACCATCTCCGGCAACAGAAATTTCCTCTTCAGGTTTTCCACGTGTCACCAGACGAAGGAAAAATCATCCGAGGAAGAAAAACACGTCGGTTGTTGTTGAGGAAAAAAGTGAGTTGTCTTCTCCTCCACCATCTCCGGCAAGATTGTCATTGTTCGTGCAGAGATTAATCCCGTGTACGGTGGCTGTGCCGGTTGTGATGGAAGGAGTGGAGGTGGTGAAGAGATTGGAGGATCCATACGAGGACTTCGAGGGATCAATGATGGAGATGATAGTAGAGAAGAACATGTTTGAAGTTGCTGAGCTTGAGCAGCTTCTCATCTACTTCCTAACGCTAAACACGAAACGCCACCATCGCGCGATTGTCAAAGAGTTGTCTGAGGTTTGGGTTGCTTTGTTCTCTGGTGGCAAACAGCAGCCGAAGATCTAGTGTTCGACTCTCGGATTATGATGAATGTTAGAAAAGAACAAACGTTTATGTAATTTCTTAAGTAAATTATTTTTCTTATTTTTAATTAAGAGTCAATGTAAGTCACTTCTCCAAAAAAAAAAAGTTATGGGGACAGGTGCCCCCACCCACTCCCCATTTAGTTCCACCACTATGTAAGTGGTAGGATTATGCGGCTGTGAAATGATTTAAAAACTGTAATCATTAGGTTTTTTCTCCAAATTTTTTTTTTTAGCAAAAACATACTGTACTACAGTAAAAAGTACTCTAGACTCTAAAACGGTCTAGTTATGCAAACCATTAGAGCATGATTAACCTCGGATTTTTAAGATGAGGTTCTTAGTGGAAATTAAGAAACTGTTTCTTCACTTTTAACTAAAAGCGCTAAGAACCGTTTTTTAAATAAAAACTTTAAGAATCAGTTCTTAGCGTTGTTACAGCCAATTGTAACAAAATGTAAACATTTATTCCTTACATTTTAACTTTAACTAATATTTTACATAAAATAAAAAAACAATCTCAGAGTTAACTATTTTAAAAATAAAAATAAAATAAAAAGTAGAAGCATAAGATTATCAAATCAATATAAAGTCTAAATATTATTAAATATAATTATTTATTTAAAAAAAAATAATTAATATATTAAATCATTAAAACTAAAATATTAATAATAAATAGTATTATTTTGGTGTATAATTCAGTGTTATGATTGAAGATAAAAACTAAAGTTCAAAACTAAAATACTAAATTTTGTATTTTTTCAAAAGCAAATTTTGTCGTGTTGGGATTGCTCTTCGGAAGACATACATATCCATTTTATCTAACAGAATTTTTATGTTTTTCTCATGAAATTTAAAACATAAACATAAACATAAATTATGTTTTCCCCTAAACATAAACAGATGGTCACTTTTTATTTTCTTATATCGTAAATGCTTAGTTGATGACACGTGTACGATCGGATATGGAAAATTTTGACTTGGCAAACGAAGTGACAAATGATTGAAATCGAAAAAGACAAAAGTTTAATTATAAAAAACACTGAATATATTGGTCCTCTGGCCTTCTCAGACGCGCAATACAGATGTGTCTTACATCTTCAGTTTTTAAGACCAACTCCATCGGGGATAATAGTGAGGCGTTCTTCCAAAAAAAAAAAAAGGAGAAAAATAAATGAAAAAAGAAAAAAAAACACAGAACCGGGTCTTTAAGAGAGAGCGGTAGAAGTTGTAATAACCCCATACGTGGCAGGTTCTGATAGGTTTGAAAAACGGTGAGGACTTTCTTCGTTTCGATCTTGGATCAAAGTTTTCTGTTTTCTCCTCTCTCTCTCTCAGACAAATTTCGAGACGACGATGCTTTGGAAATCGATGGTGATCGGTGTGAGGAGGAGATGATTATCTCTGTCTTCGTCTCTCTGTTCCCGACGAGTCCTCTCTTCGACATCGATGTTCTCGATGTTGATCAGTTTCACCAAAGACGAATCAGTCTCTTTGCCTTCGATTATGACGAAATCTCCAAAGGGAGATGAAGGTTGATCTATTTCTCCCTTTGTCGGTCTTCTCTTTGTCCTCGATTCCGTCCATGCTATCCCGTGAAGGTTAATTTTTCTTTTTTTTTTTTCTCAGATGTTCATGAAAAGTGGTGTGATGGAGATCAATTAGGGAGCCAACGCGTTCAATCTCGACTTTCATCCATCGAAGAGTCTTGTAGCTACTGGTCTCATCAATGGCCACTTGCATCTATAAACTCGAAAGCTCTTATCTTTTCAGTCCCATGTTCCACAAAAAAAACACCAACCATATAAACCTCGTACTCTGTTTCTTTTTCTGTTGCAGATACCGTTACGATACAGAGTCTTCACTTGTCAGGTAATAATAAAACTCTCTTTGTATCTTCAAAGTTTGTTTCTTTTTTGTTGTGGGTCTTGTATAAATAGCTGATTTTTTTTGTATTAGGGAGAGTTAAGTTTGTATTGTTGGTTGTTTTGGATTCTGTTGTATTGTTGATTGCTTTTAACATTAGTATCTGTTTGGTAATTGTAGTTCGAACAAGCCTGGGTTCACTCAGAGTTCGAACAAGCCTGGGTTCAAGAAGCAGGACATACAGGAACTGTGAAATCAATGTGTTCACATCCAACGAACTCTGGTTTGTTTCTTGAAAAAAAGTTATTTATTTGATTTACTAGTTGGTGTTTTCAATCTAAACCTTGGTTCTTATTTTCTTATTGGTGGCTTCAGGAAAAGAGAGCACATGGTATAGTATCCCTGTCACAAGACTCAAGTGGAACCTTACTTACAGCATCATGCAAGGACAACAGGTTTGTTTTTTCAATATGTTCACACTCATAACTTTAATTTTCGATCTTTTAGTCTTTTTTATTTGACCCAATGTTTGGTCTTTCTTTCTTTCACATTAGTTAAATGGAAAGGAAGAAAACAGATGACAGTGAAGCTGTTCCTGTCCCTGTAGTTGTTTCATAGTCTCCTTGTCTCCTTGTGTGTTTCATTTTCAGAGTGCATCTACGATGGCAGGTAAAATCACTAAAAGCTCCATGTTCCCTTATTCAATTCTTGGCTGTCGTGAGATAGAGTATGTTCGAATTAAATGGACATAGATTAGGTTGGTTTAGTTTTAATTACAAACAATAACTTTGTTGGTTGGCTGGTTGGTTGCTTTGGTTTAAATTAGGAACAATAAATTTGTTGGTTGGTTGCTGTTGTTTTAATTACAAACATTGATTGCCATTAACATGAGTTGCTTTTAAAACCGAGCAACTCTTCCTCTCTTATTTATTTTCTTCAAACCACACAAGCTTTTAAAACAGAGCAACTCTTCCTTTTTCCTCTGTTTTTTCGTATCTCTTTCTCAGTTCTATGGATCCATTTTCGAGTAATTGTAGCTTCCAAGGACTATTAAATAGTCAACAACCAAACCACCCCTTCCCATTTGTCCCTCGTGAACCCAGTGTAGAGATTTCTTCCTCTAATGCCTCTGCCTTCGATAGACCATGGTCTGAAGATGCATACGACGATGAGCACATTGTCTCTGACCGTAAAGCAAGGAAGAAGTGGACACCAGTTGAAGATCTTGTGCTAATCTCGGCTTGGTTGAACACCTCAAAAGATCATGTGGTGGGTAATGAGCAGAAAGCAGTAGCTTTTTGGAAGCGCATTGCAAACTATGTTGAAGCAAGTCTAAAATTTGTGGGACTGGAAAAGAGGGAGGCTAGTAACTGTAAACAAATGTGGTTGAAGATCAACGAAGGTATGTGCAAGTTTGTAGGGTGTTACGAGGCTGCTAGTAGATAGAGAGGCAGTGGGCAGTCTGATGATGATGTCTTAAGTAAAGCTTATGGATTTTATTTCAGCGACAACAAGGTCAATTTCACACTCGAACATGCCTGGTTGGAGCTTCGCCATGATCAAAAATGGTGTGGAGCTCCTACTACCAAAAACAAAGTGAGCTCGAAAAGAAGAAAGGTGGATGACCAGGGAGCACAGTCATCAAACCATGTGGCATGAGAGGAGGAAGCAAGGCCCATCTCACAGATGGTATTTATCCAAAATGGGCTACTTTTGTCCAATCTATTACACTTCCGCAAGATCCGAAGGCATCCTTATTCGCTACACAACAAGAAGCTGTCCGTAAAGATGTCAAGCGTGCTTTTGGGGTCTTGCAAGCTCGATTTGCCATAGTAAAAAAATCCAGGTCTTTTGTGGGATAAAATAAAAATTGGAAAGATAATGAGAGCATGTATCATTCTACATAATATGATCTTAGAAGACGAACGAGATGGATACACTCAGTTTGATGTATCAGTTTTCGCACAACCAGAATCAAACCGAAGTTCGAAAGTGGATTTCTCGTATTCTATAGATATGCCTTCAAATCTCGGCAATGTGATGAGCATTCGGAGTCGAGTTCGTGATAAAACAATACATGAACAGTTGAAAGCTGAAATGGTTGAGCATATATGGCGAAAATTTGGAACAAATCAAGATTTTAACTAATAGACATGTGGTGGTGGTACATAGGTTGTTGTGGCGGTGGTGGTCCACCTTGCTGAATCTGTTGGGGTGTCCAGCCATGCTGGTGACCCATGGCTTGAGGAGGTGGTGGGGGCCTTGGACTGCCGAAACCTTGCTGGTGGTGATGAAGATACTGGGGAGGTGGTGGCGGCGGCGGCGGCATTCCTTGAGGAGGAAGATACTTCATGGGCGGTGTAACACCTAAGCCGTGTTGTTGTTGGTGCGGCTGAGAAGGCCAAGATTGTGCCTGAGTTTGGTACACTTGTGGAGGCGGCGGTGGTGGTGTGGGACGAGGACCTGGGATCGGAACAGGTTGCATGCCCGATGGTGCGATCCTGATCACGCTCAAATTTAAGAGATGGTATCCAATGTATGGACAAGCTAAGCTACTGATCAAATCTTGGCTTAATAGATATTTTCATGGTCTTATTGGCATGATCTATGAGGTTCTGGACAGAGAGAAGATATAGAAGCTTTCCATCAATAATATAAGCTTGAGGAGCTTAATGGAGGAGTTGGGCTTAGGTTGGAATGAACCAGATTGAATATG